CCTTCCTTCCTCCCTCCCTCTTTTCCTTCCTTCCTTCCTTCTTTCCTCCATCTCTTCCTCCCTCTCTTCCTTCCTTCCTCCCTTCCTCCCTCCTTTCCTTTCCTTCCTTCCTTCCTCCCTCCCTCCCTCTTTTCCTTTCTTCCTTCCTTCCTTCCCCCTCCCTCCTTTTTGGATATGACTAACACAGAACTTTTTGCATTTTGCATACATATTTGCAATGGGCTTTATTTCTCTTGCCTTCTCAAAGGGTGGGGGGAAGGGAAAAATAAAAATAAAATGAAATTAAAAATATTTTTAAAAAGAATATAAGCCCCACGAGGGCAGGATTGAGCACAGCGCCTGGCACCTAGTATGCACTTAATATGCCCTTGCTGATTGGCTGGAGCACGGGGTATGAGCTCACTGAGGAGCCCAGTTTCCAAAGCATCAGGAAAAGAACTGAAGGAGAGCCACGTGGTTAAGGACAATAAGGACACCATCAGGAAGAAGCCTGATCACCAGACTGGGCAGAAACGAGTGAGATGCCAAAGACAACAGCCAGGCTTGTTGTGGGGTTGAGGCAGTCCTTGGGCACTGACAGAATAATGCCCCTGGATGCCAGGGAGAAGGCCTGACTCTTACAGCCTCAGTTTCCTCCTCTGTAAAATGGGGTCAGTAATGCTTGCAGTCCCTAACTCACAGCACAACAATCCATCATGGCCCCAGAAAGGCTCTGAATTAGCTTCAGAGGAAGAGGAAGCCAACAGCCCTGGCTGGAGCGATCGAGTGTGGTGGGTGGTCCTCCCGCCTGGCCTCTCCCTAGGCCTCCTCCCTCTGACCCCACTTACCAATGGTCTCACAGCGCTTGTGGGCGTAAATGAGGGCCATCATGGAGCACAGCGACACATCCGCGTGATTCTTCAGACTTTCCAGCTCTCCGATGGCGTCCTGTATGTGTTCTGCAGAGACATTTCCGAGCGTTTATTCACGCTGAAATTTTAAATCAAAATGCACAAAACCATTGTAGCGAAGAGAGGGAGGAATGGCTCCCACATGGACAGCGCAGGCGACCTAGACACACCAAAGCCTGGCACCCAGGAGACACTCAATAAATGCTCGCTGACTGCTACAAACCATTCTTTCATATTTTAATAAACTCGGTCTGGCTGTCCCAATTGAAACCTTTTTTAATCTACATTTCACGCTAATGCCCTAGTACTCTTCCTACATTATTATTCAAATAAGTTTCATTAATTCCCTTTGTTTTTACACCAATCATTTCCAGATAGATCCACCCTCACCCCAAATGACCCTTCCTTTGTGGCATTAAAGAAGACCATTATGCAGAGCATTACCAATACAGTAACTAGTGTGACAGGGTATGCAGCATTCAGACTCCTGCCTCTCCACTTGAGAGAAGGGCTGTCCACTTTATTCTCAGTTCTCTGAGCCCCTCATTGATCTCTCAGTTGCTCAGACGCTTCTCAGTCATCATTTCATTACATTGTTGTGGTCATCGTGTCTGTTCTAATCGCCCCATCAGGACAGTCACCCAAATCCTCCCACTTTCTCTGTTCTCCTCATATGCGTCCTTGCCTCCTACACAATAATTCACTGTATTTCTGGACCACAGTTTTTTTTTTTTCAGTCATTCCCTAATAAGTGGGAACCCACTTTATTTCCAAGTATTTGCGACCATGAAAATGTGGCTGTGAATACTTGGGTCTATACTGGACTTGTTTTCAACCTCTTTGGGTTACACATGCTGAGGAGTGGAATTGCTGGGTCAAAGGCTATGAGTAGCTTCATTACTTTTCCTCACTTAATTCCAAGTGGATCAAATTGCAGCTCCACCAACAGGGTATGAGTGCACTTGTCTTTCTGCAGTCCTTATATTCTGCTCTTTCCCATTTTGGGGCCATTTTTTTGAGCATACCGCACATAGCCTCAATGTGCATTTCTTTAGTTGTTACTGATTCAGAAATGACAGAGAAAGCAAGGACTGGTCTGCTTTGCAAGTTTCAAGTTTGTATGTAACTTCCTCGACATTCTTGACCAAAGCTGGGAAAAGGCCCAAGTCTGCTCCAGGTGAAGTCTGAAAAGTGAAAAGTGTATGCTCTGGGCTCAGTGTCCATGAGTGGCTCTGAGCCTTCCACAGAGAGGCAACCAGCGTTTATTAAGCACCAACTATGTGCCGGGCCCTGTGCTCTAATGGATCATACAATAAACACTGCTGTGTCACAGGGAATCACATTTTCTGGTATTTCTTTTTACAATGCAACATGACAAAGTATTTCTAACTTTGCTCCCTCTGCCCTGGGCGGCTGCAAGGCACGCTCTGCTCAGCCTTCTGCCAGCTCTTCAGCTCCTCCCTCAACAGGAGGGAGCCAGAGTCCCTTAGTGGAGAGACCACCGGTGGGCTGGGGCAGTGCCTGGTGAAGATCACGGACAGGGCCTGCTGACCGACATCCCACCGGGCATCTCATCACTCCCTTTGGGCTGTTTCATGGCAAGAGAGGGTTCCTCATACTCAGGCCTCTTGATGCCCCACAGTAACCAGCACCTTCTGGACCACCTTCCATCCTCTTTCCTGAAGGTCTGAGGGCACACACCTATCCGGACGAGCGATTGCAGCCCCTGGATGGGGCTGGTCTCAGTTCTTGTGGATGGATAATGGTGGCTTTCCAGACCAAATGACTGCCCTTGCTATAGGGTGGGACTAACGTGGGCACAGGCCATCTCTGTGTAATTTGTATGGACAAGGTCATAGGGTCTAGAAATCAAGGGCTACAATGATTCTGTTAGGTGTGCTTTTTGTCACTATTCAAAGTGTGTGTGCACGTACATGTAAATACATGTCTACTCACACACACAAATACACATGCACATACACACATCCATGGAGACGCACTGAATTTTGTCCCTATTCAGTGTACAATACTATACACGCATGCATGTATGTATACATTTACAGATCTTATCTTGCTTGTACAGGGTTGCTTGTGTGCTGTCTTCCCTGTGAAGACTGTGATCTCCTTGGGGATGGGGATTGTTTCGGCCTTTCTTGGCATTCCCAGCACAGAGCACACTGCCCGGCACATAGTAGGTGCTTAATAAATGTTTGCCGACCTGACTTGAGTTGATGTTTCTGTCCAGCTGCTGGTGCTTCGGTCCTATGGTTCGTACATGGTGGCTGATGCATGGGCTGTTACTACACACCCGGCACGCCCGGTGTCCAGAGAGCCAAGCCCAGGCCAGGGCTCATTCCTTACCTTCTTGCAGGAGGCCATACGCCTTGAAGAACTGCAGAACGGAGTCACTGCTGAATTTCTCCAGGCCTTCTGCGGCCGCATTCTGCACATGTCGGAAGTACTTCTCTTGACAATAATAGATTATTCCGGCCTAATGGAGAGAAAAACCTTCTGAGTTACTACTGCAGCTGGTGGAAGGAACTTAAGCAAGTAATGTTGTGGAAATAATTTTGTACGTTTAACTCTTGGTTATGAATTGGCAGACTACTGACTGCATGGAGACCATTTATCATTGCCATTATCATAGCCACACTATTTACGTGCCTCGATGCTTCAACGGAATATGCTCCAAAGACATCCGAGAGAGTGGAAGAGGACCCACTGGCAAAAACATATGTACAGCAGCTCTTTTTGGAGTAGAAAAGACTTGGGAATGTATGGAATGCCCATCGATTGGGGAATGGCTGGACAAGTTATGGTGGATGTTGTACGAAATGAAGAGATGGTTTCAGAGAAACCTGTGCAGACTTGTACGAACTGATGCAGGTGAAGTGAGCAGAACAATAATCACCACAGTGTAAGGACAAACAGCACTAAAAGACTTAAGGACTTTGATCAAAGCACTGACCAACCACAGCTCCAGAGGACTCATGACAAAACATGTCACCACCTGCCTGACACAGAGATGACAGATATAGGGTATAGACTGAGACATATACTTGTTGGACATGGCCCAATGGAAATTTTTCTTGACCATGAAGATTTTTTCAAGGGTTTTTTTTTTTACCCCTTTGGTCAGAGAAAAAAATGGAGTTTTATTAATTGAAAAAAAATTAAATAAAACTTAAAAATACCACAAGGATTAATGACCTCCTTGATGGACACATCCCCTCCATCAGTGAAGATTACAACCCATTCCAGTTTTTCTTCTAGAGATTCTTGTTAAACAACAAGTGATCAGCTTTGGTACTCAACATCTCCTCAGGACCCTCTGTTGCCTCTCCCCTCTCATTGGGGGGGCAAGCAAAAAAGGTTCCCTTTATAGAAGCCAACTCTTCATTTCCCACCAGCTGCTCTGCTTGGCCACAAACACAATTTCTTCCCCCCTCCCCCTCCCCCTCCCCCTTCTTGACTTCCTTTCATGTATTATCTCTCCCCATTAGGCTATAAGCTTTTTGAGGGCAGGGACTGTCTTTTGTTTTCTTATTTGTAGGCCTGGTGCATAGCACTGTGCCTGGCACATTTGTTTTTCAGTCATTTCAGTCGTGTCTGACTCTTGGTGACCACATTTGGGGTTTTCTTGGTCAAGGTACAACAGTGGTTCTCTAGCTCATTTTACAGATAAGGAAACAGGCAGAGTTAAGTGACTTGCCCAGGGTCATACAGCTACTAAGTGTCTGAGGTCAGATTTGAATTCAGGTCCTCCTGACTCCAGGGCCAGCACTTTAGCCACTGTACCACCTAGCTGCCTATATGTCTGGCATATAATAGACACTTAATAATGTTTATTGACTAATCAATGAACATTTATTAAGAATCTATCATACACATGGTACTTCTATAGAAAAATGCAAAAGTCAGACAGTCCTTGACCTCAAGGAGCTTATATTCCATTGGGGGATATAACACCTAATGGAGAGTATTGGCCAAGGAGGCAAGTAGTTTGGGAAATCACTGGGATGCCATTGTTACACCTTTTCTTTTCTTTTCTTTTCTTTTTTTTTTTTTTTTAGGCAATTGGGGTTAAGTGACTTGCCCAGGGTCACACAGCTAGTAAGTGTTAAGTGTTTGATCTGAGGCCGGATTTGAACTCAGGTCCTCCTGACTTCAGAGCCAGCACTCTATCCACTGCGCCACCTAGCTACACCTTTTCCAGAGGTAATAGTGGTATTGGTTTGATTATGGTACCCTGTGCAAGGGATGGAAAGTGGTGGTTGGGATGGAGGGGTGACGGGGAGGGCATTAATATGATGGCTGGTAAAAGGCAAAGAGCCAGCACTCCTGATAGATGGCTGGACTCCTGTCAATCAAACAACAAATTCTACCATTGAAGTGGCCACACAAACACGGCTGAGCCTCCTGGAAGGGATTTGTAATCATTCGGAGGAGTATGGCCTAACTGTCTGCAGGGAGAGACCAAATAGATGCAGAAGATTTATTGCCCAGAATGCAAAAGTCATCTGGATGGACCCCCTAATGCCTTGTCCATCAGCATGTATTGGAGGAGTTGGGCACCAACTGGGTGGCAGAAAGGGCTGGATCACTTTCAGGGAGCTGCCAATCTCCCTTCCTGCCCCTGAGCTTCCCATGAAAGCAAAGGCCCATCTTTTGAATGCCAACATTCTCCCCGGGTGGCTATGTGTCAGTGAGATACGAACTCCAACAGCCTCTGGCTGTCACTCAAAGAGCCACGGAGAGGCACATGGCGGGGAAGAGCAGGCTGCTACATATAACCAGGGAGGAACTCTCAAGAACATGAGTAAAAATGGCGTCATGGGACTGTGTGATGGAAGAGAAGATGGGCTGGGCACGTGGCAAGAAGGATGCCTGACACTGGACAGTTGAAGAGGTCTACTAGTACCCTACTGAAGTCAAGAAGAAGACAGGAAGGCCTCCTCTGGCTTGGGAGGATTCCCTGATGTGACTCCTGGAAGGATGTGGACAAGAGCTGCTCAGGACGGGCAGGTGTGCACCACTGATGGGCATTTCCAAATGGATGAATGCACACATCCATCTGAGAGCTTTCTCTTCAGCATCTAGCCCCAAACCTGGCACCCCGCATGTGCTTAATGTCTGTTGAGTTGAATTGAAGACTGAGGCCTGGGAAGAGGCCACTAGATATGTGGAGTTAGGAAGTTAATTGCAACCTTGGAGAGCAATTCCAAAGGGGTGGTGGCAGCAAAAGGTGGACTGCAGAGGAATAAGAGAGGATAGAAAGGAAGTGAAAGGGGGCAGCTAGGTAGCACAGTGGGTAGAGCTCCAGCCTTGGAGTCAGCAGGCCTCAGACATATGATACTCACTAGCTGTGTGACCTGGGCAAGTCACTTAACCCCAACTGCCTCGCCAAAGAGGGGAAAAAAAAAGAAAAGAAGTGAAAGGTTTCAAAGCAGTTTAACAAGCATCTAAGTGCAGCATTGGCTATATAGACACACCAACCCCCCCAAACCCTGAAGTGGTCCCAGCCCTCAAGGAGCTTTCCCAGCTACTGACTGTTCCTCACTCTCCCCCCTGTCCCACCAGCTACTGAGAGAAGGCCAACTATGTAAGGGTAGGAGGCCTTGGGGAAGTGACTGAACACCTTAGCGGCCTGGTTGACCTTTTCATCATCTTTGGGGAGTGAACGGTGCTCCTCTCAGCAAAGTGCCTGGCACACAGTCATCACTGAAATAAATGGTTGTTGTCTAAACAACTGGTTAAGAAGATGACTTCTTAGCCGAGGATCTGGATTCGTGGACCACAGCTTGAACTATAAGGGATGACGGACTCCTGACCCAGGATGCAGTATACCCACCCAGCATAGTATGCAGTCTTGCAAAGTGAACCCAAAGGACTTTAAACTGAAAAGGAAGGAAGAAGGAGCAAAGTGCCTGTGTACACCCCCTCAAGTTAGACACCGCAGGGGAAGGACGAATAGTGCTTGAGATAAGGAAAAGTTAGGAGGCAAAATCCAGGGGAGGAGCCAGTTATTAAGCTCATAGCCTGGGATGCGGGTAGAGGACGGGAGGAGTGCTGGCAATAAGCAAGGTGCACTAGAGAGGTCTTCACACCAGGAAGCCCACTTGACTCCACTCTTGTGTCTCTGGACAGGTGGACCTCATTGCAAAGAAAAAAGCCACAGGTCCAGGGCTTCACTGTCTACTAAGAGGGTGCCCTAGGCTAGAGTAAGACAAGCCAGGGACCACCCACCCGTTCCCATCGCCTCCCCTCCCCACTCCTCTTTCCAAACCTCTCTCCCCCACCCACCATGAGGGCCGAGTCATTGCTGCTCATCTTGGGGCTGGTGGGGCCTGGGGGGCCGGCTGAGAGTGTCAGGCTCCGGAGGCAGCAGCGGGGGATGAGAGGGTTGCAGCACGGGGGATCCGAGCCTGGGGGGCCAGGCTTGGGTCAGGGGGCCACGGGAGGCCGAGGGTCCGGGCCTCGACGGATCAAGCCTGGGAGGTTCAGGATTGGGGTCAAAGGACTCACTGGGAGACTTTGGCTTTGGCCAGGCCAAGGAGGGCTGTGGTCAGGGGTCAAGGGTCAGACTCAAGAATTGGGGAGGGGGCTGGCCAGGGCAGGGACGAGGCAGGAGCTGGGATCAGAGTCCCGGAAGGGAGAGGGTAGGGGTCAAGGGCAGGGACAAGACCAGGGTCTGGGTCGGGGTCTAGGCAAGGACAAGGCAGGGGCCAAGGGCCGGGGTCGGGGCCAGAACCGAGGTTGGTCGGGTCAGGCAGGACTCGGTCGGGTTCCGAGTCGGGACCGGGTTCCAGGCTCCCCTGGCGGGAAGCTCGGCGCCTCGAGACTGCCTGAGGCTTCCGGGGCGTCCTTAGCAACTTTAGCGTCGCCTTGGCAACGGAACACTTCCCTGGGCGGGGCTTCGGGCGCCAGGCGGAGTAATCCATTCCGGATAGCTCGATGGGCAATAGGCGCTCGCCCCGCCTCCAGATCGGCTCTCCATTGGGGACGCCTGCCGCGCCGACAGCTGCGCCTGCGCATCAGTTTGGACCGGGTCGGGCCGAACCGGAGCCCGCGGAGCCAGAGCCGGACGGTGGCCGCCTGGGGACTCGTGCGGCCATGGGCCTGACGGCCAGCGCGGAGAAGCCCGAGGGCGGCGCGGAGGGATTCCATCTGCACGGGGTGAGTGACGGGGCAGGCGGGCCGGGGTGGGGTCAGCGGGGTCCGAGTCAGCCACCTCGGGGTGGCAAACCTCCCCGGGCCTCAGTTTCCCGACTTGTCCATGAGGGGGTCGGACAAGGGGGCCTCCCCTCTAGCTCGTGACCTGTGACCCCGTCCAGATCCCCGAAGGCCCCCGAGCCTCAGTTTCCCCAAATGTCAGAACGAAGGGGCTCATCCCTGAGCCTGTGCCCCCCTGGATGCCCCCCCAGCTGTGTGACCCCAAAGCATGGGCCCCGGGGGCGTGCCCCCCCACTTCTCGGGCCGGAATCACCCCGGGAGGTCCCGAGGCAGCTTCACCGGCAGCCCCCCACCCCCCTTTATTCTTTAGTTCATTTTTCTGACGTCATCGCGGTCATCCCCAGGATCCCCGCCCCCCCCAGGTTGGAGAAGTACGGAAGCGCTGCCCCCAGTGCCCCCTCCCGCTGCTTCCGCATCACCTTTGTGCCCGGTGTCCCCACTGTGCCCGCCCTTGGTCCTGCGCGTCCTCCGCATCAGTTCAGTGAGCTCTTTCCAGGCTTCTCTGTTTCTTACAGCCCGCGTTCCTGCACCGCCGGGGCTGTGGCCGCTTCTTTGCCATCACAAACAATCTTATATGTGTGGGAACTTTTTTCTCATGGAGAGTTTCTGGGTCACTTTATTTGCATAATTTCAAATTGCTTTCCAAAACGGTTGTACCATTTCACAGCTCCACCAACCATGTATTAGCGTGCCTGCCTTCCCACAGCCCCTCCAGCGTTTACTGTTGCAATTTACAGGGTGTGATGAGGCAAAACCTCAGGACTCTTGTGATTTGCATTTGTCTTATTGCCAATGATTTGGAGCAAGGATGCTCCATGTGGTTGTGAATACAGAATGCTCTCAGGAAGCTTATCAGGTACCCTCTTCAGCTCTTAGCCCATGTCTTGGGATATCCTTGATTTATTTCCTGCTCTGATACCAAATTCTTTGCCAGTATCCGTGAAGGCTCCTGGTTCTTGGTAAAAGCCAATGTGGTGCCCCTGCCTTGAGAGTTGTATTTACTGTTGCTGTCTGGTTCCTCTGAGGGACCTTCAGCTCAGCCCTCTCTCCAAAGCCAAAGCCATCCTTGGGGTGCAGGAACATAGCAGAGAATGCACTTTCTCATCTGGTGTCTCAAAGGGTCCATTTAGCCAGAGGCAGTGGGATGGGTGCACTGAAGTCAGGAGACCTGGGTGTTGGGCCTCCCTCTGCCCGTGGCCTTGTGGCTCCCTGGATTCCCGGTCTTCATTTACCAGCTAAGGAGTTGGGCTGGGGAGGACCTTGAAGGTCTTTCCAGCTCCAGGAGCCTCTGGAGGCGTTTTTTTCAGAGGCGCCTAGTTGAACTGGGCTTGGCTTTTGACCAATAGCCTTTCTCCCTGCGGGCAAGCTTCATTACTCATAGTCGTAATCATGGGGTCAGCTGTTGGGAGCGGGAAGGGGCCTGGGGCTCTCTGCCCCCGGGCGTCCTGCAGGTTGAAGGTGGCAGAGCCAGGCTTCGGCCCTCCTTTCTCCCACTCCAGAGTCAGAATCTGTCCACATCCGTGAGCACATTCAGCCTGCTGAGCAGGGGTTTGTGTAGAACAAATGGGAGAAATTGTATGTGAATGTTTCCCCAGTGCCCCTTCAGTTTGGTTTTAAACCCTCTGGAAGAAGCATCTGGCATGGCGGGAGAGAATCTCTGCCACATCCAGGCACGGAGAGAGATAGCTTGGTAATGTCTGTCGTTTAGCGTAGCTGAGCAGCTGTACTTCTGAAGCTGATCCTCAGCTGACTTTCTGTTAGTCTGTAAGCATTTATTAAGCACCTGGTGTATACCAGGCACTTGGCTTGGACCTTGGTTCAGAGTCAAAATGAATTTCATGGAACACCTTATCAATAATCAGTCAACAAGCATTATTTATAAAAAATACCTTATTGTTTCCCCCAATTACATGTAAAATTATATATGTACATATATAGACATATATATATATATACATACACTTTAAGTTTTGAGTCTCAAATTCTCCCCACTCCTTCCTTGCCCCCTCCGTGAGCCGGTAAGCAGTCTGATCAAGCTTATCCAATTGCTTTCATGGAAAACATATTTCCATATTAGTCTTTTCAGCAAGTATTTATTAACCACCTGCTCTGTGCCGCGTACTGCGCTTGGCGCTGGACAACGATAAGAATATTCCTGCCCTCCAGGAGCTTACATTCGGACCCACGGCAGGCTTCTCCAGAGGCCCAGCCAGGCTCCCAGGGTTATTGGATTCTGGGTCTGCTAAGCTTTTCTTTCTTTTCTGTTGCAAACATGTTTTAGTGATGCCTTTTGTTTTTACATCCCGAATCCCGGTTCAAGATCCTCTTCTGTGTCCAAGCCATGCAGTTACAATCCATCCACTGACCTCACCTGACAGTGTAGGCCCATTCTGAGCTCAGAGCTCGAGCTGGAAGGAGGGACCCCAGAGAACCCATTTACCCCCAGGAGCGGAGGCCCAGGGAGGTTGTGACTTGCCCCAGGCCACCGAGGTAGGGGGATGGTGCTGTCAGGTCCTCACAGTCCCAAAATATATTGTAGATGGCCCCTGTTGGGTTGGCTTCCCTCCGTCTCTGGAACTTTGCCCGGGCTTTGCCACCAGCTCCCGTCCTTTTGTCCTTCTCCATATGGTGCGCCTGCATGTGGGCCAGTAAACGGGCCATGATGTGACTGGCCCTCGTTCCCATACGCCGGCCGCTTGCCCTTTCCCAGGGATAGTGTGTGGCTGGCATTTTGCAGACCTCTGGGTCTGCTGCCCGCCTTCTCCGCAGGCCTGGTGTGTCCTCACTTCCCTAGAAATTCTAAAGCATACTTTCAGATGTGTCACTCAGTTCTCTTACATGACCCAGAACACACGTTGTCCTGTTCTGTGTAGACTGCTGTGCTTCTTTTCCTGATTCTGGTTCCAGGCTTTTTCCTGCTTGACTGATCAAAGTCTACTCTCTTCTCTTCAGAACACCCTGGTTGTGTTTGCTTTGCAAGTGTATCGTGACACCTGGAGGATAGAAGATGGCGTGCTGGGCAGCAGCAGGGCTAGGTGGAGGCTGTTGGCCCCCTCTCAGGACTGGGCTCGGGGCAGCCCATTTCCAGGAGGCTCCTCTCCAAGCTATATTTGGCTAAATGTAGTTTGACTGCATTCAGCCTCAGCGGAAGAGGAAACTCAGCCAGGCGGTCGTGGGAGTTTTGATTAGATTAATCTCCCATGACCAGCAGACTGACCCATGGCTGCTAGAGCTCTGCAGCTGTGTTAGGTGGGCTGTAAGGTGGAAGAGAGAGCTGACTTATGTGTGGTTCCCAGAGGAGGACATAGGAACACAGGATGGAGAAGTTACTGGATTTCACTTCAACATAATGAACAGTTTTCTAACGTTTGGAGCTTTTCTGCAGTGGACATGACCGTCTTTCGAGATACTGAGCCCCGTGCCATTGGAGTATTCGAGGAACGGGATGCTGTAGAGAGAAATTCCCACATTCCTTGTTCTGAAATGATCGCTGGCCCTTTTCCTATTCAGAGTCCTTGTTTCTGAAAACCCAGAAACCTTGTGGTGGACAAAGGGAATCATACCCTTCCTTGGATGTGTCCTGCCTTTCAGGGGCAAACAGAGTATTTATAATACACTTTCTGTTTCCTGTACCATGCTACAGACCCAAATACGAAAGCCAAGACGGCTTCTGCCATCAGGAGCTTACGTTCCAACCCAAGAGGGGGCCAGGGAGGGTTGGGTGAGAGGATTCACAGGAGGGTAGGTTGCCATACTCTTTCCACGATCAATGACAGCTGATTAGATTGAGTCCAGACCTGGAAAGTGAAATGGGGGTGAGAGCATGGGTGGATGGATGGCTGACAGGGAGGGGAGTAAAGCATGACTGGAGCCAGGCCTGCGTGTAGTGGACAGTGTCCCATCAGGACAGGGCCCCTCAGGGTGGTGTTGTCCCCAGAAGGAGCCTCTGCCATGTCTCTTTTCGTTTAGATGGCTACAGGATGCAATGGATAGGACTTGGAATCTGGAAGACAAGATCGAATCGTACCTCAAACGCAATTATCATTATCATCATCATCATCACCACCATTATTATTATTATTATTGTTACTAGCTTAGTACCCAGAGGCAAGGCCTCTGCTCTTATGGGTCATCTGGCTTTTCTTAGCTTCTGGACTACTTAGCAAGTAGTGATGGAAAGGCATAGGGCCAGGATGGTTGTGGTCACTATTGGTGCCATCATCCAGGAAGACACCCTTCCATGCAAAGCATCCATCTGCCAGAGAACCCCCTGCTTTCTTCTCTTGGCTGAGGAGAGGGCTCCAGAGAACACAAGAAAGAGTCCCTAGGCTAGCACCATGATTGACATCCCAATGTAGAAACAAAGGCTCCCTTTGGGGTTTTCTCCAGGGCAGTGCCAGGTGTGGGTGCCACCCTGCTGATGTACATGCCAGTCTGACACCCTGGATTCCCACACCGTTGATGTGTTTTATGTGGGGGTGGAGCCTTTGTCTGCCACGTATACCTGGGATTCCTCCCTGTCAGCGGGTGGGACACCCGGGCGGGGGGGGGGGGGCTCATTGGGATGAAAGATGGGACGGAACCTCAGAGCCACATTGGCCATTGGAAATGTTCTCTTGAAGAATCCTGTCTTCCCTTGGCATTCTGGAAGCTGATGGGGTACAGGCGTCTGTCTTTGCAGAGAGACTCTGGCTCTGAAGAGGGATCCCACAGACCCACCTCACCTTCATATGCCAGCCATCCTTATGGATGACGTTCGCTCCATACTCTCTAGACTTCTTGCCTGCTGACATCAACCAGCAGGGGGGAGAGATGAATGTTTTTGTGTTGTTGTGATGTTTTAAAAATTATTTCATTATTATAGTTTTGTGTTTAAAGGTTCAAGTGTATTTAAAGAAAAAATTTATGCAGTAAGTTTAAACAAAACTAAAAACAACGATTTT